TGAAATGTGAAATGCAATTTGAGCCATGTGTCTTTGGCTATGCCTCGTCTTAGTGGATAGCGTCATTAATGTTTGCATTCTCCTGACTCGCTTACATCCAGGTACAATCAGGTGAACGCACTCACCTGGGGCTGCGGCACAGGAGTAGAGGGTTGTAAGGAACTGACAACTGCGTGGTTCAAAGAGTGGATGGACAACCCTGATAATAACATGTATGTTAAACAACAATTATTACTTATATTCATCCCCTTTGCTTTTTGTATAATCATATATTTTTACTTCATATGTTTGCCTACACTATAGGTATTCACTACCATACTTTAACTTTTATTAGATATACTTTTCCCAAACATTTTAGCTCTGATCTGACATGTATAATTCTGTTTTGGGCAGTGATTGTCATCACCATTTTTCCTGTCTTGTTCAAACCATCCAGGATTAGCCCTAACTTGAGGACCACAGTGTACTGCAGTGCAATTGCTGAAGGAGGAGTGGTGGAGTGGGACTTTGCCTGGAGAATGTATAAGAATGCTACCATTGCCTCGGAGGCTGAAAAACTTTTGTATGCTCTGTCCTGCACCAAACAGCCCTGGCTGCTGAACAGGTCAGTTGCAATAGCAGCTTTGTAACGCTCTGCCCTTTCATTTGGTACTTCTTAGGTAATTTAACATTTTACAGACTGCTCTGAGTGACTTTTACAACACCTTTGATGATGCATTTTGTCTTTCAGCCTCACTGTAATTGTGTTTTATCAGAATCAGAATCAGAGTCAGAATATTTTATTAATCCCTATTATTATGCAAATGATCTTTTAGGTATCTGGAATACTGTCTGGACCCAACGATGATCCGTAAGCAGGATGCCACCTTTACCATCAATTACATTGCCGGTAATCCAATTGGACAGCCCCTGGCTTGGGACTTTATTAGAGCCAACTGGGATCACATTTTCAATAAGTGAGTTTTCTCCTTATTTAATAATAATATGTACAATACTATGCATATTTTAGTAATCCTCTTTAAGGAAATTACTCTCTGCATTTAACCCATTCACTCAGTGAAGCAGTGGGCAGCCACCAATCCAGCACCCGGGGAGCAGTGTGTAGGGACGGTACCTTGCTCAGGGGTACCTCAGGGTAGCCATTCTGTAGACCGCTTTGCGACCACTTTGCCTACTGAGCTATCCCTGCTTTACATGGCATAGCCAGTTTCCCACATACATTGCATCCCTGAACTTTTCCAGGACTTACCTGACAAAGGACCATGTCAAAGCGCTTTAATTGTAGTTGCACTAGTTTCTAGTAGTGCAAATGCATATGACATTTCATGTGATACGCACAATATTTGGCAATACAAATTAAAAATGGATATTTCCTTGATTCTGGAAGCATATTTGGATGAGCGTGCACAGCCAAAGAGCTGTTGTCATGCGTAGTTGTTTGCATACTGATAAAAGCCCTCTAATGTTTGCCTTTTCTTCAGCTATGGTGGAGGATCAATATCCTTTGGAAGACTTATTACTGGAGTGACCAAACGTTTCTCCTCTGAGTTTGAGTATAAGCAGGTACATTTTCTTTTCACCTTCATATTTTCAGATTCAATTAAATACTTGCTAAAATTGCTACAATTACAGCAAATTAGTGTCAGTTTTAAATGTCAGTTTTTTCACATTCTTCCTCTATAGCTGCTGCAGTTTAAAGAAGATAACATAAACCAACTTGGCTCAGCTGCCTCATCTCTTGAGCAGGCGCTTGAGAGAACCAAGGCCAACATGGACTGGTTGGCTCTGAATAAGAAACTAGTGTTTGACTGGTTCACCGATGAAATCTCAGGGACAGTTTGATAACTGAAACACAGTTTTCACTTTTTAAATGTAGAAAATGTTCAAATCTTTAACTTTGCTGAAAGCAAATGTATTTTTGAAATATGTATATTTTAAATGTATTGGAGATTTTTTTAATTGTAAATTTTTGATTAAAAAGGCTTTTTAAGAATAAAAAAGGATGTGATTACTTCTCTTGGTTTTTGTGTGTGTTGGCACGTTAACTTTTAATATGTTATAGGGTTAGCTTGTCGTCCCCATTTTTAAATATTAGGCAGATGTAAATACATAGAAGAAATGTTTTGAAGTTTTAATTTGTTACTTTTTGTAACTCTGAGGGTAGATAAAAGAGTCAGTTTGTCTGCAAAATGCCACACTGGAAATGAATGTTTGAAAAGTTTTGGTTGTTCTTTGCTCCAGGCATCTGTTCAGCATCATAGATCACACTGTGAAGCATCAACTCACAAGTGGGATGGGGCAAAATTGTATAAATAATGCATCCCAATGAGACACGCTCAGTCTGTTTAACAGTCAAGTCTGAAATTATATCAGACCCGAACATTGATTAATTAATTTTTTTTTTTTTAAAGGATCTCAGCCATCAAGTAATGTTTACACAGGATGTTAAAAGGTGCTGATTGACTGGTTCTAGTTCAGCTGTCACTTCTCTCAGTGGGGGTCTTTCCTTAAAGACTTTAGAGGGGATGTGCTCCTTGTTTAGCACTTCATTGTCCTGCAGCCGCAGTGTTTGTTTACGAAGGAAGTGGCAGGCAAGCTACAAGTCTACATCATTCATGATGCCAAAAGTAAATGCACCAATAAGCCAAGAAGCAAGGATTAATTTGATAAATAATGTTTATTCTGCTCACAATATGAAAGTTCAATAAATACAAAGATCTATATACAAAAATAAAACGTTAGAATACATATTTTGTTAAAAATAACAAAAAAAAAACCAGAGGTTTTGTGCATAAATCTTGTCATTGTTGCAATGAAAAGGATTCAGTGGATTGATCACCACATCTCTCAACACAGTCCAGAGAAGGTGACATTTTGGTTTTGTTGCTGTAGCATCCAGTACTGCTCGATATTCAAGCAAACTCCACCTGGAACCTGACAACAGAAGACAGGTTTTTTTTATTAGAAACTCATTTAGCTTTAACATGTTGGAGAATATTTTGGAATGTAATCAAAAATTGTGGTGCAAATCTTTATAGAAAATATTTTTTCAATAATATATGTTATGTTTATTATATTAACATACCTGATATGAATTCTGCAGAAAGGGCTGCTGGGCTTTGCTCATGGTGTTACAGCTTGGCTCTTCGGGACTGTAATTGGCTGCTGGCTGACCCAGGAAATTGTTGAAGGTTTGGGTATGCTCCATTGAGTTTGAGGATTTCTTCTGCTCCAGCACTTCCTCGCTGAGGCCCAGTTGTGCTGACAGGAAAGAGATGTAGCGAATGGTGAGGCGCAGAATCTCAATCTTGGTCAGAGTCTGGCCGGCTGGTGCCACTGAATGTGGGAGGTATGATCTGAGGTGATGCAGAGCCTTGGTCAAATCCCTCATCCTCAGCTTCTCCCTCTCGCTGGCAGTCTGGCGCTTTTTACCCGGATACCTGGATCTGGACTTCTTTGTTGCAGAAGAGGATTTGGAGCAGAGTGGAGTCTGGTGAGTGAGATGAGGTGCTGCAGGGGTATTAAAGATTAAGCAGTCCAAGGGATCTTGTTCGCTTCCAAATGTTAGGAGGGAAGTAGGGGAGAAGCAGAAGGAGTCCACAGAGGAAGTAGGAGACAGGCTGTTGCCAGTGCTGCTGTAACCAGCGTCTGAGGCAGGATCAGAAGCCAGAGATTTTTCTAACAGAGATTCGCAGTCAAAGAGGAAAGAGTTCTCCTGGAGTG